ATTAGAGAGATGGGCCAAAACTAACAAAATGAAGTTCAACAGTGACAAATGCAAGATACTCCACTTTGGCAGAAAAAAAAATGAAATGCAAAGATACAGAATGGGGGACAATGAGGCCTGTGAAAAAGATCTTGGAGTCCTCGTGGACAACAAGTTAAACATGAGACAACAATGTGATGTGGCGCAAAAAAAGCCAATGGGATTTTGGCCTGCATCAATAGGAGCATAGTGTCTAGATCTAGGGAAGTAATGCTACCCCTCTATTCTGCTTTGGTTAGACCACACCTGGAATATTGTGTCCAATTCTGGGCACCACAATTCAAGAGAGATATTGACAAGCTGGAATGTGTCCAGAGGAGAGCGACTAAAATGATCAAGGGTCTGGAGAAAAAGCCCTATGAGGAGCGGCTTAAGGAGCTGGGCATGTTTAGCCTGAAGAAGAGAAGGCTGAGAGGAGATATGATAGCCATGTATAAATATGTGAGAGGAAGCCACAGGGAGGAGGGAGCAAGCTTGTTTCCTGCTTCCTTGGAGACTAGGACGCGGAACAATGGCTTCAAACTACAAGAGAGGAGATTCCATCTGAACATTAGGAAGAACTTCCTGACTGTGAGAGCCGTTCAGCAGTGGAACTCTCTGCCCTGGAGAGAGTGTGGTGGAGGCTCCTTCTTTGAAAGCTTTTAAACAGAGGCTGGATGGCCATCTGTCAGGGGTGATTTGAATTCAATATTCCTGCTTCTTGGCAGGGGTTGGACTGGATGGCCCATGAAGTCTCTTCCAACTCTTTGATTCTATGATCTCTGAACCATATTGTGGGCTTTTTTGTTGCTGTTTCCAGGGCTTGTTTTTCAAAGTGTTCCATGTAGAAGTTAGCTATGACCGGGCTGAGAGGGCTCCCCATAGCTACTCCATCTTTCTGTTCGTAGAATTCATTGTCCCACTGAAAGTAACTGGTGGTGAGGCAATGGTGAAACAGAGCCGTGATGTCTTCTGGGAACCTCTGGTTGATGAGTGCCATGGTGTCTGCTACCGGGACCATGGTAAATAGAGATACCACATCGAAGCTGATCAGTTTGTCGTTGGTATTTAGCTTGAGATTGCTGATTTTTTCTATGAAGTGGGCTGAGTCCTTGATGTAGTGTGTAGTGAGCCCAATATGGCTTTGTAACTGTGCAGCAAGAAATTTTGCTAGGTCGTATGTGGGGGATCCAATGGCACTCACGATGGGTCTGAGTGGGGTGGAGTCCTTATGGATTTTTGGGAGTCCATAAAGCCTGGGTGGAGGGCTTCCGATTTACATAGCTGTTGTCGTATGTCAAAGTTGATTGAGGAGTTCTTAATCAGAGTGTTGGTTTTCCTGGTTATTTTGGAAGTTGGGTCTTGCTTGAGTTTTTTGTATTTCTGTTTATTGCCTTCAAACCCAGTTTGTATCTTGATCTGACCTTTGGAGAAGCAAAGCATGCTGGACAATAGGGGACAATAGCCTTGTTTAAATATTTGAAAAAGATTTCACATTGATGAGTGGGCATGGAGCCATGGATTCAAATGTAGAAAAAAAAAGATTCACCTAAACATTATGATGAACTTCCTGACAATAAGAATTATTTGACAGTGGAATATGCTGCCTCAAAACCTAATGGAGCCTCTGGCTGGATGACCATCTGTCGAGGGTGCTTTGATTCTTTGTTCCTGCAAGATGGGGGTCGGACTGGATGGCCTGTGGGGGTCTCATTCAATTCTAGGATTCTAGGATTCTATTCTATGATTAAATATCTGGAGAGCCACAGGTCCTGTAAGACCTACTGTAGGTAATTCTGCATTGTTTATTATTTTCAATGGCAAAGTGTGCATTAAAAATAAAAACCTACCTCTTGGTGGCCAACAGGGTCTTATTGGAACAGCAATTGCATATGTTTGCGGTGTTTGGTTAAGCTTTATTCAGAACAGGATAAAGGCTTGTCAAACATGATTGTTTCCAAACTGGGCTGTAATTACGTTAGCAGCATGTGGCATTGGGATTAACCTCTTCACACAATCAGAAACGGGTATCGAAGTAAAGCTTGGTTAAATCTCCTCTGCCCCCCTCCTCGTGGCACCCGTTTTTGCCTTTGTGCTGTTGGATGGGGAGGTCTTGTGGCCTGTGCAAATCGCAAGGGAAATGCATCATGATGATTAATCATGCCTTTAATGAAGAAATAAATAGAGAGGGATAGATGGGAAATTAGACCAACCAAATCCACTCCGTCAGCCAGTTCAGGATTATTTTCTACACAGTGTTTATTTCCAGTCTGAAATGATTTCAGTCAACGGCTCTTAAAATGAAAGGTTAAAGGAAAAGGTTTGTTTTGAAAGTATTATATAGAGTATCAGTATATAGAACAGATAATTTCCTAAGACATACGTATTCTACATTGATACACATTAGGTTTCACTTGCCAAAGTTCATTTTTGGTCAGTGCCTATATCTAACTTATGGGTTTCTTTCAGAACAGCCAAATGTGTAGGAAAATGTGCAATATTTTCTGCATTGCTCTTGTGTTTTTTAATACGGTAAATTTCAAATTATTGCTCTTGTTGCCCTGAACTATTTTTGAACAATTCCTGGCACCAGCTACAGTAATTTATTCCAAACTTTGAGTGAAGGTCCTTCCTCAAAGCCCTATATTCCAGAATATCAAGGCAGAAAATCCCACAATATCTGCTTTGAACTGGGTTATCCACACTGCCATATATCCCATTTCAAAGCAGATAATGTGGGATTTTATTCAGCTGTGTGGAAGGGGCCTGAGTTTTATTCTGAGACTTATCAGAACAAAACAATTATCCTTTACTTCTTCACTCTTTATGTTAAAGTGTACCAGTATTCTATCACCATAAGTCAAAGGTTCTTTTCCAAAATTAAAAAAAAACTAAAAGAAAATAAATTTGGCCTAGTTTAAAAAATCTTTGGAAGAGAATCTGTAATTAGCCCAAAACAGAACAAGCAAATGGTGCAGGTGACAACGAACAAACTCTTAGGAGGTATATCACAAGGACTCGCACTTCTTTAATCAATCCAGAAGAGCCCATAGGTTTGAGTGAGATCACATGCCAAACTTGTCATGGTTGGTTTACATTTTTAAACACAGAAAAAATATAGTTTCATTTGGAACTGGTTGTCTTCTTTCACATCTCATGCTCTCATCTCTCAATTTTACAAATTAACTCTTATCTTCACAAAAAAGAAATATCTTATAGCCAAATGAAGGCTTTAATTGGATTTAATATCACCCTAAAGTTAATCACATGGTTTGGATGGAGTCTGATTTGAGACAGTTTAATAAATAAAGTATGCCTTTTTTCATGTCAGGAGCAATTTGAGAAACTGCAAGTCGCTTCTGGTGTGAGAGAATTGGCTGTCTGCAAGGACGTATGCACAGGGGATGCACGGATGTTTTATTATCCTGTTGGAGGCTTCTCTCATGTCTCTGCATGAGAAGCTGGAGCTGACAGACAGGAGCTGATCCCGCTCCCCAGATTCAAACCGCCAACCATTTGGTCAGCAGTTCTGCCAGCACAAGGGTTTAATCCATTGCCCCACTGAGGGCTCCTAAAGTATGCCTTGCCTGAGGAAACTCTATGAGAATCACATGGACACCGCAAGTCAACACGTGACTTCAGGACACATATACACATACAGGCACACTGGTGATTGAGGATTTGTATTATACAATTTATCTTATGAGATATTCTGATCTTTTCTATTGTCTCTTTCCAGCCAACATGTACTTTATAAGATATTTCATCATGCAGAAAGAGCTTCAGATTCAACTTATTTGCCCCGTTTGTCCACATGATGCGTATGTTGCAAATAATATGTTGTCTGAAATATCAGAGTAAGATTCCCACCATACTGTACAACTGCAAACTGTAAACCTTACAACAATGAATGCACTTTTGAACCAATGTGATTGCAAATTGTAATTCGTACCAATCACAGCAAATGCCTATTCTTTCAAATGTCTATAAAATGTCTATGTCTGGGATTGTGGGTTATGCTGGATATAGGCATTCCTCCCCTGACATCCTTCTTTGGCCAAGGGAGCAATAAACGATATCTGTTCCTGCCCTCGATCTCTGCATTACTCTATTGGAACGGATTGGAGCTGGTATACAGGGAAGCAGAGATTTCAAATATTCCACTCACCTCGAAGACCCCATTTACACTGCTATATAATGAAACTGCATTATTTGGTCAGTGAAGGCCCATATAACGCAGTTCAATGCAGTCAAACTGCATTATAGGGTCTACACTGACCATATAATATAGTTTAATGCAGTTTCATATCCTTTCTTCAAAATAATTTCCCTTCATTCATTTTCCCTTTCCTAATAGTAGCCATTTAACCTGATGTTAATTGATGTAAACCATGGTTGACACAAAAGATTCTTCCCATATTAAAAGCAGGTTAGATAACTCTGATTTGCATTATTATATGTGTAATATGAAACCATAGGTAAGCAAGTAGAAACTGAAGAGCAGATAGTTGGATAATGCAAGATCCAATGCTCTCCCTCTTGACTATGGTTAGAAAATCAACATTAATATCACAGTAAGCCATTCTGTTAAAACATATTATATGGAATTACAGTGTTCCCTCGCTACTTTGCAGTTCACTTTTTGCACATCCAGTGTTTCACGGGTTTTTGCCTCCTGGCAACAATGGAGTGTAGAAGGGGATTTCACCCCCTTCCTTGGGAGAGAGGCAGCCAATCATAAAAGAGAGAGAGAGGAGAAACAAGCAGTATGTAAATCACAGCCTTATAGCCCCTTCCTTATAGCTATAGTCATCTATTTCTCACAATCTGCTGCCCAAATTGTCAATTATTGGATTCTGGAATCTAGCTGGTACCCAAATGATGGCATTGAGTCTCAAAATAAACATCTCTTTCCTGGGTTTTGTACTGATTTGAAACAGGGACCCTTGAACATGGATTAAATCATAGACTGAATGCCACTGTTTGAACATGGTGTTATTTTAATAGATTGTCTTTGCTGCTGCATTGTCGGTTGTTAAGTATGTGATGTAAGCTGCCTCAAAATATTTCATCAAAAAATTAAAGTACATCTCTTCAATCAACTATGGCATGGAAGATCTGTCCAGCAGAAATGTTCAATAGCATGGAGAATTCTAGTAGCATAATCAGTTTGTCCCTTCTGTGGCATCTTTTTCTACAGTTTAATTGCACTGATGTAGGATTGTGTGGAGGACAGCAAATGTTATCCCTGCACATGCATATACTGCTTTGCAACCCAATTTCCCATCTCCTGTATTGATGCACTTTCCATCCTTTTCATGGATACCTTGCTCCACAAACATAGCCAGTGGCCCAGAATGGCACATTGGTTGCAAAGTGCTTCCGTCTTGCCTGGAAGAATATATAAAAAGCAACAAGACAGGCAAGAAATAGCAAAATGTGATAATTCAAACGTATATATCACATATGCACACTAAGGATTGGATAGTCCATTTAATAGCGAAATGTGATAGATCCAAATACATGCACACACATATTCATGTACACAGTTTGTATGTTGGATCAATCACATTTTGGATCTATCACAAATAGGGAGAGGGCTATCTGTCTTACAACTTCAATTAAAATTCAGAGACAGTAGAGATGGATTGTGGGCTATAGTAATGGTAATGGAGTGACGCTTCAGTATTCTCATTCATGGCTGTCTTTTTAAACTCCTCTTTCCCTACTACTTTCATCTCCCTGTGCTACTGTGCCTCTGTCCCCTTAATCCTTGCTAAAATTTCAGATTTTTTCAAAAACAAACATCCAGGAAAATGGATAAAAGTATATTTGCATTACCAGTTTTATCAATAGCATATGTTTTATCCTGACTTAAAGTACCAAAACTAGGCTGGCACTGCAAAGTATAATAAGGTATCCAAAATTCATACAGGCTCTCTCTGCATTGTAATCCTTGCCAGGTTGGTTGTTCCATTTTCCTGGTCTTTGTGATGTCACTGTTTGCTCAAATAACATTTTCCTTTTTTACAGTAGGGAACAGGAAATTTTTCAGGCTCATCAAGCATCCTTGTAGGGAAATGCTCCTTTCTCAGGGTCCAAGACTGCAGACTTGACTTTCCTCCAATGATTTAGCATAAATTAACATAGAATCCCTGAGTTATTATCCCAGACACGTTTGCATAGTGGTTTGGCCTGATCATATCTTTCTTTCCCCTTCACAATGATAGCCTGCACGGCCAAAACAGATCTAATAATGTAAAATAGAGGCAGGCAAAATGTAGTTCTTCAGACATTGCAGGACTCCATATCCCATCAGTCTTAGGCAACATAGCCAATGCTGATGGATAATGGTAATGGCAGTCCAGCAATATCTGGAGGGCTTTATGTTGCCTAATCTAACCCTGCCTAACAGAAAGTTAGGCAACATAATGCAGATGCAGAAATCCATTTGACCTGCTGCCGGCTCTCTGAGCCGCACAACCAAGATATAGGAAAAACTCCTGCAGTCAGCTCCTGAAATATTTTAGAGTGCTTCCAGACAAGGCTTTTAGCATGCAATCACCCTCACAGCACTCTACAGCATGATCCAAATGCTTTTTCCTATCATTGGTAACTTTCCTATCTTTTCTTATGACTTTCATCTTTTTGTCTTATCATGTAAAGTCCATTAAGGACAGAAAGAAAGGACAGCTATTTGCACCATTCATTTTGGTTAATATTACTGGGAAATACCTATATGGAATGCAAACATGTTCCAACATGGACATTATTTTGCCTAAGGAAGAGAAAAATAACATAGGAAAGAACAATTTTCTCCCTGGAACCGCAAAGAAGCAGAATGGAAAAGCTGCATCAAAGTTGGTGTAAACATTCAAGTTTCAATTGAGAAAAATTGAGATTTCAAAATTTCTCTCTCCATTTTGTTCCTATTGCATTGGAAGAGTTACTGGTTTTCCCTGGAGAGTTGCTAGAGAGTTGGCATTCTTTTAATCCAAAGGTCATTGCTACTTGTCCATATGGAAGACATTAAAAGACATGTTGGTTTCCTCCTTAATGGCTGGAACAGAACCTAATGTGGGTTCTAAATGTCTTAATCCTGAGAAAGAATCCATTGTGGCCGATGGTGCCATTACTGTATCCCAACAAGTTCAGTAATTGGTGGCGCATAGACCATCAGTTCTTCATATTTGCCCAGGAACAACTTCAGGCGAGACCAATACGAATCTTCATTATATGGCAATTTCTTCTCTTTCAAATACTGAGAAACAACTGGCTTGATCTAAAATGAAAATGCAGCACAGTATTACTACTCATATCTATTGTAGTTAGGGGAAAAAATCAAATTAGTTTAAATCCCCATGTGACAACTGAAAAAGAGACGTGGACAAGAATTCTGTTTAGAGATGGTGCTTTGGTGGAGAGGTCTGAGGTTTCCTACAGTTCCTCATTTGCATTCTCATGTAGCTCCATCTCTATTAAAATCCTACATTACAACCAAAGTACCAGTGTGATGTAGTTTTTGGATTCCTGAGAGATCTGGAAATTGTCAGGTCCGCTGAACCATGACACTGACAGGAGGAACGTGGGCTAATTACACTCCTTCTCAGGCTAGCATACCTTGTAGGGTTGTTGGGAGGATAAAGTAAGACTAAAGAAAGCCATGGGCCCCTTCTACACAGCTGTATAAAATCCAGATTATTTGCTTTGAACTGGCAGTGTGGACTCAGATAATCCAATTCAAAGCACATACTTTGGATTATCTACCTTGATTGTCTGGATCATATGGCAGTGTAGAAGGGCCCTTGACCTTACTGGAGAAAAAAATGGGATATAAATACAGTGCCTTGCAGTTGTACAGTCTGCCCTTGATTGGTTTCAGGGGTCCACATGGACACCAAAATCTGTAAATGTTCAAATCCTATTATGTACAATGGCATAGTAAAATGGTGTCCCTTATGTAAAATGGCAAAATCAAGGTCCCGTTTTGGAAAATTTGACTGGGGAATATTGAATCTGTGACAGGATAACTATATTCAACTCATCCCATTTTGACTTTTTTTCCACTCTTCTTATTACATTTTTTGTGTCAACACTCATTGATACTGAACACTGTAAATGCAGAGGATAGTTGTATTCTGAAAGTAAAATTAAGTAATCCAAAACAAACTGGCAATAATGGGTTGCATAAATATTCACATGCACACTTTGTTGTGACACACCTAAAAGTAAACACTGGTACAAGTTCTTGCCACAAAGTGTTCGGTTTAAATACATCTGTTTCTAGAAAGTTCCACCAATGTGTTGAAGATCATATCTAAAGTAGGAGCTTAATGAAGACCAGGAAGGTATTCAAACAATCAAGGATCAAGTCATGCAGAAGAACCTATCTGGGAGGCCCATCTACACAGATTGCATTAAGATCAGCTCACAGCAGCCAAGCATTGCACAGGGTTTATCCACAGTAATGTGGGTCAAAGCCACTTTAATCTTGCCCTGTGTTACCAAAAGTCAGGGAAAGCTCAAATACTGCCTCAGAATTTGAGCTTTCCCCCAAATTAGAGCCACTTGAGACACAGCAAGGACATTCGGGCCAGCTTCCAAGCAGAACCAGCTGCAGCTGTCCCCACTGCCGCCAGTGTTCCCTGGACTCAGGCTGCCCAAGGACACGAGATGGCAATCCCGCCCACCCCTCCTTGTCTCACAGTGAAGAACAGGTAGGCCCTTTGCCACCTCTGGAGACTGCTGTGACACAGTAGGAGAGTCAGGCAGTTAGGGTGGTTGCCCAGTGGCACCAAACCATTTGGACTCCTGGGTGATGGGGACCCCATCCTGTCTCCATAGTGGCTGGGAGAATCCTTCTTGGGGATACTTCTTGGGCTGATTTAGTTTCCAACATGTTGGATTGGAGTGTTGGTGTGCTCAGGATTGGGTTATACAAAAATATCCCAACTTATGAACATTCCATGAAGTACTATAAAATCCATTATTACAAAATGGAAAAAAATATGGCTCAGTCATAACTCAGATGAGAGAAGACCAACCACTCCAATGTGGTGATTGGGTAAGGAAGGCATTAGTCAGAGTGGCAACCAAAAAGTCAATGGGTGACTCTGAAAGAGCTGGAAAGATCAGAAACTGAAATGAAGGACATCATCCATGGGACAAATATCACCCAGACATTCCACAACACAACACTGGGCATTGTGGGAAAATGATGAGAAGAAAGCCATTGCTGAAACAAATCCAGATCAAGACCTCTTCAGAGTTTGTAAAGGGGAACGTGGAAGACAGAGTAAATACATGAAGAAATGGTCTCTGGTCTGTGAAACCAAGCTGTACTTTTGAATCTATATATAGCAATAATAATAATAATAATAATAATAATAATAATTGCCCTAACAATACCATCCCTGCAGTGAAGAATGCTGCCAACATTATGTTGTGGGGATGTTTTTCCTCACTAGGAGCTAGGAAAATAGTCACAATGGAGGGGAAGATGAATGGAGCCAAATGCAGGGCAATTCCAGAGGAAAACCTGTTTCAGATTGCAAGGGATCTGGGACTGGATGAAGTTAAAATTTCGGGAGGGGTTGAAATTGGGGGGGGGGGTTGAAATTTTCGGGGGGGGGTTGAAACCTGCCTCCTAGCTCACGCTGAAGCAAAGAGCACAGCAGGGGGCAGAGCAGCCTTCAATAGCCTGCAACTCCGCCCCTGTCAACCACCTCCACCAAGTCTGGCCTCCTTAATGAGAGCATTCAACACACACACACCCCAACTTGGTTGCTTCACTACATCGGCTATTGCTGCAAGTAATGACAGTGTGAATAAATTGTCAATATTTGCTTGAGATAGTGCTTGCAGTTCTGGAGGGACTCTTAATTTTTTGCATCTCATAGACTTAGCATGGGGATTTGGTTAACCAGTTAAAATTCATGAGTAAACCAGGTTTTTTTAAAAAATCTGAAACATTTCGGGGGGGGGTTGAACCCCTAAAACCACCCCCTCGCTACCATCCTGCTTACAGGAGTACAATAACTATAAACTCACAAGCAAAGTAGCACTGGAATAGTTCAAAAACTAGGACCTAAATAATTTCAAATAGCTCAGGGCCCTTCCAGCCAGGCCCTATATCCCAGAATCCGATCCCAAGTTTTCTGTTTATCCCAGATTATCTGGCAATGTGGCCTCATATAATCCAGTTTAAAGCAGAAAAATGGGATCAGATCCTGTCTGGAAGGGCTCTCAATCAAAGCCAACTGAGTATGCTTCATAAACTTTGGTAACAAATAGGTATCTAGTCTACTTTGTTCTTAACTTGATGTGAGCCATTTCAGGTCCTATCTCAAGAGAAAGACAGAATAATAAATAAATCAGAAAAGAGAAGAGAATAGAAGAAAACCTGTGGCAAGACTTGAAAGTCCCTGTTCACTAGCAGTCCCTATCCAACCTGACAGCTGGAGCAATTTAGCCAATAAGATGAACAAACATTACAGGTGAACATGCAAAAATATGGCAGGCAAGTATAATAGAAGACTAGCAGCTGTAATTACTGTAAAAGACAAATCTATTGGCTATGAACACAGGTATAACAATATTTATGGACCTAACATGTGCCAGTTTTTATTTAATTACATTTAAAGAATTTGGAGAAAAAGACACAATTTAGGGGGAATTGTGAGGTATAGATTATGAGAATGACATAATTTGGTCATAGTAAAATATTTTGAATTTTAAGAGTTGAATATCCTATGGCAATTAAAGACTAATTGAATACTTTTCAATTCCAAGTTGTAATACAACAAAACATGGAAAAGTCACAATGAAGGGGTGAATACTTCTGCAAGGCACACTTCAATAAATAAACAGTTGCTGAAATGGGCAACAGATTTTCAAGAAAGGTGGCATTCATAACTTTAGACAAATGTTAATCAAGCATTCACCCTTCTCTTCCTTATACATTTTCAGCTTACAGTGATTTCTCCCACTACACCCCTTTCCACAACCCATACCATCTTTCCACTCATGCCATACCTTCAGGCACATATTATCTGATAATGTTGGGAAGAGATGGTGCTCAACATGACAGCTGATGATTGAGTGCCCAAAGGACCAATCCAGCAGGGGATTTCGAGGCAAGTTCAGGACTCCAAGGGTCATCATATGAATCCGTTTTGGCTTCTTTTCAGTAGAAAACATTGGGAGGCCAATATGCTGCAAGACAAATCCACAGAACAGCCCATAGGTCAAACAAGGACATCTCTGAGGAGATATGGTCCAAATTAGTAATTTCATTAGTGAAAAATGAAGCAGTGGGGTCTTCTCCGGGATCATTCTTGTCCTCCTGAAGAGACATTTTTAAAGAGGTACACAGAACATATTTATTAAATATTTGGGGGGGGGGGATCCTGGAAGCAACTATGAGAAAAAAGGCTATTCAACAGAAATGATATGTACCAGAAAGAAAACATAGTTCAATAACTACATATTACTTATGCATGTAACATACAAGTGTATGTTGCGATTTTGTAATGTACATGAAGACCTAAATTAATGGAATTCAAGAAAGTTTCTGGACATTATGACTTCATGAAACCAGACTTAAGGGGATACAAGCTCCCTCTGAACAAATACTGTCAAGAAACCACTATGGTAGAGTCCACATAGGGTCGGAATAAGTAAGAAGGCACAACAAGAACAAAAACATGGCCAAACTGAAGGCACACAAGAACAAAAACATGGCCACACATTACAGGCAGTCCCTGAGTGATGAACAAGATAGGTCTGTAGGTTTGTTCTGAAGATGAATTTGTATGTAAGTTGGAACAGGTACATTTTTAAAGTGTAATTCCTGCTAAAGTTTTGGACAGCATATTGAAGGGTTAACATCCCTATAACATTTGTTTTGCTGTCTGCACCCCTGTTCAAAAGATTTCACTTCACTTTCTGCCCCTGTGCAATTGGGCTATGAAAATTTTGGACTGTTGTGGAAGCAAGTATTGGCGAGAAAGCTTCCGTGGAGACACTAGTTTCCCATGATGACTCTTACAGGAGTGAATTTCCCTTCTTATAGGAGTATATTTCCTCTCACTTCCTGTTGTCTCACCCCTGCTTGTAACTAAGAGTCACATGTAAGTCAGGTGTTTGTAACTTAGAGGCTGCCTGTACATCCATAAAAATAACAAAGACATTACTGTTCTGCCACAGAAATAGTAAAATTCTTCCTCACTGAGTTACAACCACTATAAAACTTAGTTACTGGGAAAAGAAAATATTTATAAATAACCAGGGTTTTGTTTTGTTTTTGTTTTGTTTTTGTTTTTTTGTAGCTCATTACATTCAGGCTCTGGACATAATATCATGGCCAAATGGACCAGCAAATTTAAATAACCATACTTCTTGCTATCATCTAGAGCTGGTAATTCTTACCTGGAAGATATTAACATGGATGTAAGGATGGATAAGGAGAGATCGTGTGACCAACATACAGCTAAAAGCAGACCACACGGACTGGAACCCTGAGATATTAATCAGCAGCCAGTAATGGGAACACAGGCCAACTAATATACAACAGATAGTCCGGGTGGCTGTTTTCCATTCAGCTTCTTTCAGCAAGCCTATGGAAACAACAATTAATGAATGTAACAGTTCTCAATGCTGTCTCCTAGCTGCTATATCATAGCCTATGTAATAGATTGTCCATATTAGATATTGTTTTTTAAAAAAACAAAACAAAACTATTTCTATATCACTATGAGTCCACAAGAACTATTCAGATGATGAACAAATAAATACCAATTAAAACAATATAAAGATAAGATGTATTACTCTTTAAAAACTCCTAGAGTAGTCTAAAAACAATCCTAGAATCCAGCATGAAACAGCCAAAACAGCCATTACAAACACTGAATGACACTGTAATACCATCCTTAAAGTATTTAACATCTTAAAATTGCCTGAGATAAGTATCCCTGAAATGAGCAGCAGGATTTACAGGACAGGAACCTACCTATTGCCACAAAAGGGGTGATAATAGGTACAGCAAGAGGCGCAATGAACATGTAAACATAACGGTTCAGGAAAGGAAGCTTCCATGTACTGGAGTCCCCAAGACCAATGACATTTGTGTAAGCATGGTGGAGTTTCACATGGTTGTAGGTCGCCTGTTCAGCTGTGAAGGAGGAACAAACCTGGAATATAAATATATGGTTATTAAATAGATGTTGCATTTGCTACAGCAGAACAGTATGCATTCAGGGATCAATGTACTTCTCTCAGGAGGGAAATCTATGAAGAGGTAGTTTGTCAAAATTGGTGCTAAATCCAGTAGATTCTCTGATATCAATAGGATGCTATTGAGATGAGTAGTTTCACAGGATACACTTAAAGAAATCCAAAAGATGCAAGTGGTGAGATCAGATCGGCCCCCTCCCTTCTGTCCTTCAGAAGGATGGTAAAAACTTGGCTGTGGGACCAAGCTTTCGGGACAGGGCAATAAAGCAGCAATAGGAAAGATTACCAGGCCAATTAGGTTAGATGCAGATGCCCAAGATGGTTTTAAATGGTGTATTTAAATACTGAGATAAATATTTTTAATGTTTATGTATGCGTATATGAATTCTTGTCCCGGCTTTGAATGTTTGCCGTTTATATGCTGTGCTCCGCCCTGAATCCCCTTCAGGGTGAGAAGGGCAGAATATAATTGTTTTAAATAAATAAATACATTAGTGGAACAGTTTTATTCACTGGTACCAGCCATTATGTGCAAATGCATGGTAGCATTATTCTTACACTGTGTTGAGAAAAGTCACTTTAGAAAGGCAGGAGTAGCAGCCAGGAATGGCAAACATGAAATGATGTTTGACTTTTTCACTGCCTGTCATTTCCTTGCTCTATGGTATACCAAGATTTTTATGTGTATTTGTTGTGATATGCACTTAAAACTGTGTAGGTTACAAAAATGTGTTCTACTTAGTCCAGGTCACGACTATGTGGCCTATCACATATAATTTGATAGGTTTAGTAATGGAACATAAATAAATATTGAAAAACACATTATTGGAATAGTTGAGATACAAAACACCTTTCTTTCCTTCTCCATTTTTATCAAGGACTTGGAATGCAGTTGAGTGGAGCAGAGGACATGCTTATCAAATTTACAGCTGAAACCCAAATTAGGAGGGATAGCCAATATTCCAGAGGACAGAATCAGAATTCAAAATAACCTTCCAACTAAACATTAGGGATAACTTCCTGATGATAAGAGCTGTTCAGCAGTGGAATAGGTTGCCTGGGGGTGTGGTATTGTCTTTTCTGGGGTTTTTAAAGATTGGCCGTCTACTGGGAATCAGTGGCAGACTGGCCAGAGGGCCAGCCTGCCCAATGGCAAGTTCCCACCCTCTCTTAAACATTAGACAATATGTTAAAAATGTTAGTGACCTCTTAGTTGTGGGTGCCCTCCCCCTGTCTTCTGGCATCCAGTATTGGCATCAAGTCTGTCACTGTTGGGAGTGCCTTAACTGGGTGTTCCTCCATGGCAGGGGGTTGAATCAGATGGCTCTTGTAGTCTCTTCCAACTCCATGTTTCTGTGATTCTAAGAATTTAACTATGAATACCAACACAGCTACTGAGCTGTGTAAACACGCTAGCAATTATATTGCTAACAATCACACCCTCTTTAATAACTACTCTGATGCAACAAGAACAATTTGCAAAGCATTTGCAGAGGGTTTGATTAATAATTTTATAAATACATAGGCTCAAACCTTCTGAAGAACATATAAAGGTCAAACAAGGAACAGAGCTAGTACCTTCCATAATATCCCCAATCCAAATGTTCCTGTGCATGCAAGGCTGTGTTTTTTTTTTTTGTTTGTTTCTTGGTCTGTTTTACTTGGATTTACTTGAAAATAATAATTATGCAGATCTCCCTGTTCAACACACAGAAGTCTGAAAGCATAGGGCCATCATATGAGGTTATGGAAGATGGGTGTCATTGCTCTCCCTACTTTTAGCCTTCGCACTATGAAAGTTGTAGCTCAGTCATAGCTCATAAAGCATGCAAACATTTCCCTGAGTAGCCAACTCTTGTATATGTTAAATTAGGTTGTCATTCACTACATGATTACAACACTTTGACATCACTTTAATTGCCATGTCTTCATCCTATGGAATCCTGGTATTTGTAGTTTGTTGAGGCATTTGGAATTCTATGCCAACAAGCTCTAGTAATTAGCCAAACAATAAATCTCACAATTCTATAAGATAAAGATATAGCAATTTAATTGGTATCAAAATGTTGTAAGGCCATGTCCCCAACCTTCATTAGATAATTTGAATGTGGACAGAGAAAGAAAAGATCCAGTTTTTAGCATGAAGATTGTGACTGGGACCAACGACTGGGAGGTGTTACAGCTTTCTGAAACACTAATTCAAAACTAATTCCAATACAGTAGAATCCCTGTGTCCGGCTGGGACATATTCCAACACTTCCTCTACTTCTATGGATACCTGAAACCATGGATGATAGTAAACACTAGATTTTGACTATACTTGGACCAGAGCATACCACAGAGTCCTTCAGAGAATTACAAGCACTTATGGCAAGGGAGATGTTATTGGAGGATAGGTAAGTGAAACTGTGGATATCCTATCTGTGAATAAAGGGGTCAAACTATAATCTGGTAGACAACCATATCACTGAACTATTTCTAAATCAGACTTGGCAGTTCTTCCATGTAAATAACAGAGATGATGGATGTTCTCTGATTTTTCATAACACATCAGGAATATTAAGAACTATTGGTCTATCTGTTTACAGTTTCTGTGATCTACAGGTCGAGGGTTAAAACAAAAATATGCCTACATCAACATCTTGTGATATATTATTTACAAACTTGCTTACAAAATTTTGTTGGTGCATGGTATTAAAGTTTGGGACTAAAGGATATGGAATGTTTACATTGAGAGTGAAATGTTTTCCCAAGTCCTGAGGTGCAATTTGTAACTTGTGTGAAATCTGCTCGAATCTAACAGAATGATTACTTTTGTCTTATTTACTTTTTTTCATAAAACCAGAACAAGCTGAAAAGCACACCTCAATGAAGAAGACAGCCCATAATTTCCCCCATGATTTGGACTCCACCAAGGCATTGTGAGTGGCCAAGTGGCTTCCCTTCACAGCGATGGTATGATGCACCATACCCAGGATGACAGCACCACACAGGAAAGCAAAAGGATTATCAGAACGCAGCAGCAAGAACCCTAGGAACAAAAAAGACCAGTTTAAACCCTTGTTGTCTAGATGCAATGCATGGCAATATCTCATTGTTGATGTTGTTTTTTCATGTCATGAGCTACTTGAGAAACTGTAAGTCGTTTCTGGTGTGAGAGAATTGGCCGTCTGCAAGAATGTTTTACCATCCTTGTGGGAGGCTTCTCTCATCCCCCCGCATGGGGAGCTGGAGTTGACAGAGGGAGCTCATCCACACTCTCCCCAGATTCAAACCTCTGGCCTTTCGGTCTTCAGTCCTGCCGGTACAAGGGTTTAACCCATTGCGCCACCAGTGATCTCGGTGATGACCTTTGAATTATTTTGGTTCAGGACTTGAGGAGACTAAGGTCAATTGGAAAGAATTAAGACATAAGACCCATCTGCATCATCGCATATGTTTTTGTTCAAATAAATATTTTCAGGAAAGACTGGAGAAGAGGCATAAAGCAACAGCAATGGTACCTTGTATCTCACAATGTCTAGCTGGTGCCTCAAAAACAGAGCTGGGATCCCTTTGACCTTCCAGAACATTTGGACTAGTTTCCCACAGTCCCTTGACACCAGTCATGCTGCCAGGGGTTCTGGGGAACAAAAGTCCAAACTAACTGAAGGGAGCCACAACCAACTAAACCCTGCTTGTTTGTTTGTTTGTTTGTGAAATGTATATCCCGCCTTTCCCCACTCAAGGGCCCAAGGCAGCTTACAGCCAAAATAACATACAATATATAAGTTAAAACCAAGTTAAAAGCATAAACATTCCACATGTTGTAAACTCAAAGTCAATAAAATAAATTGTACTAACCCAGTCATATAAAACAACCCCATAGGCCTTCCTAGACATTTAATATCCTTGAATTAGGATCCTCCAAAGGCTTCCTTGAACAGCAAGGTTTTAAGGCACTTTCTAAATGTTAGTAGAGAGGATACAGATCTAATATCATCTGGCAGGGCATTCCAGAGGGAGGGAGCCACTCCTGAAAAGGACATCTCTCGAGCACTCTTCAGATGTAGAGTGTCTCAGATGTAGAGGATAATAACAATTCCCCACTGGACCTAGAAGATCTCCCTGGAGTATACTGAGGAATCCTTTCTCCCAAGTAATCTGGACTAATGCCCTGTAGGGCTTTAAAGATCAACACCAGCACTTTGAATCGGGTCCAGAAACTTATAGGGAGCTAGTACAGCTGTTTAAGAAGTGGAGTGGTGTGTTCTCTTATGTTTACTCCCATCAAAAGCCTAGCTGCCAATCTTTAAATGAATTGGAGTTTCCGAACCATTTTCAAAAACAGCCTCATGTAGAGCCCATTACAGTAGTCCAGGTGAGATGTAACCAGGGCATGTACCACTATGGCCAAGTTAGATTTTTCCAGGAACTGAGTTGGCACGCCATTTTAAGTTGTGCAAAAGCGACCCTGGTAACCTCTGCCACCTGTGCTTCTAGGTTTAAGGAAGAATCTAGAATCACCCCGCCCTCAAATTGTGAACCTGAGCTTTAAGGGGGAGTGTGACCCCATCCAGCTCCTGTTGTAACCCTATTCCCAGATTTGTCTTGCGTGAGACCAGTAGTACTTCTATCTTGTCTGGATTCAGGTTCAATTTGTTCACCCTTATCCAGCCTATTACTGCCTCTAGGCACCAGTTCAGGCTCAGGATGGCTTCCTTGGCAATTTCTGGTGGAAAGAAGTAGAAGAGTTGTGCATCATCTGCATACAGATGATACCGAACTCCAAGACTCTGGATGATCTCTCCCAGTGGTTTTATATAGATGTTAAATAACATTGGGGAAAGTGATGAGCCCTGCTGGACCCCACAATCTAATTGCCGTAGGGTCGAGCAGGACTCTTCCAACACCACCTTCTGACAGCAATCTGTGAGGCAGGACTGGAACAACTGCAAAACAGTGCATCAGCTCCATACCCATTAGATGTTCCAGAAGGATACCATGGTTGATGGTATCAAAAGCCACTCAGAGGTCCAGGAGAACCAAATAGGTTACACTCCCCTTATCTAGTTCTCCATGTAGATCATCCACTAAGGTGAACAAAGCTGTTTCTATTCCATGACCCGGCCTGAAGCCAGACTGAAATGGGTCAAGAAAATCCGTTTCATCCAAGAACCCCTGAAATTGTATGCCCACCACTTGTTCCAGAATTTTGCTAATAAATGGCAAATTTGACACCTGTCTATAGTGTTAGAGCATGGTCGGATTAAGGGATGCTATTTTCAATGTAGGTTGCACCATCTTGCCCCAAAATACCCAACAAGTGTAAATATAGTCCCAGGTATTCCATTCAACCACAGACAAATATGAAAGTGAACCTGTCCTAGACTCAGCTAAATGTAGAGATCCCTTTTGCTAAATAACATTGTCAATGAAACTGAAATTACCAAACTGAGATTTATAGCTAAGGATATAAACACTGAAATTAGTGTCCCTGTCTTTCGCAGTCCTTTTTTCCCCAATAAGTAAAAGACTTAAGGAATACTATACAGTGGTTTCCTATGCATAGAAGATTTCAGATCAGGGATTTGTTTTACATTCACATGCTTTTGAGGCAAACAAGTACAGCCACCATCTAGGCCAAGTGGGATGTGACCTAAAAGCAACACATTTGCATTCCCAGTGGCAACTGCTCCTACTAATTTGCCACTGCCTCTTGTTCTGATGCAATGTTACAAGGCACTGTTACAAGGCAATGTTCCCAACAACCCCCTCTTTAAAAACATTTGTATGCATGCCAGCATGCTTACGTGAAGCAGGATCAGCCCAGTATAACTGGGATAATCCATGAGCAGCTGTCTATAGGGCAACGTTTGCAACCAAATAAATACCCAGTGGGCAACTCTTGTGCCATCTGGGAATAACAGAAAGGACAGTGATCCATGACATCATGGCATGATGAAACTGTGGATCAGCAAAGTACTGAGTATCAAAAAGTGAAGAGAAACCCTATATCTTCAAAAACTGAAGATACAGGGGCATGGAGACATTCCTTGATGCTCCGCTTGTTTCTCAGGAACAAGAAATTTGACCTAATTATCACTTTTCCTTCATTTATCCCATTTGTACCTTGTTCTCCCTCAAGCTCAAGCTCAGCACAGTGTCCCATATTATCTTTGTGATAACCTTGTGATTTAGTTGAGGCTGATAGATAATGGCTGACACATTGTCGCACAATGTGTTGCACAGCAAAGAAAACATTGGAATCAGAGATTTAGTTCAAAGCCTGTTACTACACTTTCATTGTTATTGTTGTTGTTGTTATGCATCTTTATGTCTCCTAAAGGAGACTCAAAGTGGCTTCCAATTAAAAGTATAACCACAAAATTTAAAATATACAAATATTAAAACAAAATTAAACATAACAGTACTTAAAAATTCACAGTTAAAATCCATTAAAATATATTCAAAGCTAAAAACCACAACAGACATGCCAAGACATATGAACACACGTGTTTCATTCCTAAGGAATCAGATGTGGCTTTCAAAAGCTGTGTGTGAGAAGAAAAAAAAGATTGCACGTGTCAACATGATATCCAATTTCCATGTGTGCCTAACAGTCATTGTATCACTGAAATATGTCTTGCTGGGTTCCTTTTTGCATAACGATATGAAAGATAAATTAAACATTTTCAAGCTTTGGTTATAAATAGTCAGATTAATTAAAATTTAAGTTCATAGTGAGTGAGCCAGTTTTAATCACAAATTTTAAACCTGCGTCTTATGTTTAATCTCTGTTCTGTGAATTTTAATGTGTATTTTGCAGAAATATGTTTTAATATATGTATTTTTGTACAATGCTTTTAGATAAGGGCATGTTTTTATTGATGTTGTAACACTCCTTGAGCCACAAAGAGAGGCAAGTAAGAAATAATAATAATAATGCTGTTAAAGGCTTTCATGGCCGGAATCACTGGGTTGCTGTGAGTTTTCCAGGCTGTATGGCCATGTTCCAACATCAGGAGAGAATGCTTCTGGAACATGGCCATACAGCACAGAAAATTCACAGCAACCCAATAATGATGATGATGATGATTGTTGTTGTTATTATTATTATATTTAAGAATGTATATCCTAATTTTAATGCTAGATTTGAACTGGGGATTAAAATAAATAAATATTAAGACATTTACTCATTTAAAATATCTGTTTTATCCCTTTTATTTTTATTCTTGAAAATCTTACTTAATGTTAATGAAATGCAAATCTAATCCTTTTCCATACTTCATTGTTGTATTAAATTTGGTTAGAACATTAATCACCAAGATTTTGAAAACATTTGGTATACATGTGTGTAGTTTGTGATTATTAAAACTAATACAAATGAAGTTTTAAAAAATACATATGTGCATAAATATTATTTATACATACATGTATTTCTTAATATTGCTTATATTTTTTGTAAAAAATGTAATTGTAACAATAATAATGTGCGTAATATTTTTTCATGCCTTGTGGTACTCAAACATTAAAAGTTTATCACAAGGAACTCTTTCATGGAGAAGAGGTTTGGCCACCCTTGATATAGAGAATAGACAGGGTGTTGAAAAAAACAGCCTTATTTTTCTACCAGCAAATGTACTTCAATCAGCAAGTACACTTCAATAATATTGAATGACCTTCTCCAGTGGAATATAACTTTAAAACCACCTGCAGGGATTCTCAAAATAGTGTCTTCGAGGCTTCTGCCTTGCAAAACATTGTTTTTAGAATCCCAAAACACATTAAGCGAAGAGAAAAATACATCCCTTCTATTATGGGTTACTAGTTCTTGTTGTCCCTGTCGTCACCCCCCCCCCCCCCCACACACACACACACACAAATCTCATATATGTTAGCTTTGACAGGCAAGCCTTCCCTGACCTATTGTGTTGTGTTGGACTATAACTCCCATCATCCCTTGGCAGCTTGCTGGTTGTGGGGGAGGGTGGAAGTTATTTTCCATGTCCTTTGGAGAGAAGCAGGATGGGGAAGGTTGTCACAGGTTATGTCTAAAGTAGTAACTTCTTGACAATGTAACAAGATAGGGATGCGTCTACACAAAAGAATTAATTCAGTCTGAAACACTTTTATTGTCATTGCATAATGATATGAAATCTGGGAGTTGTCGTTTTACAAGATCTTTAGCCTTCTCTGGCAAAGAGTGCTGGTGCCTCACCAAACTGCAAGTCCCAGGATCCTATAGCATTGGGGCATGGCAGTTAAAGTGGTGTCAAACTGCTTTAATCCTATGATGTAAATTAGATCTGTACAACTCGGCAGGAGTAGGGGCCAAAATTAAAACAAGCTAAATGTCTTTGGGCTACAAATAGGTTTTTAGTGCCTCACCAAACGACAACACCCAGGATTCCATTGCATTGAACCATAGCAGTTAAAGTGATGTGAAACTGTGCTGATTCTACAGTGATTCTACAGTGTAAATGTACACTCTGCCTTTTAACTGTACTAATATGGTTGGCCTTCCAAGCGTCACAAAATTTATGGCAATGCAACCTCTTGAGAGGCAGATTTTTGCTTTATTTAGCCTCCTCCACTTTGGCAGTTTTCTGCACTGGCAATCCACCCCGTGGCCACCACTGCCAACCTATCCAGTGATTCCTCCTCTCTGAAGGGCACTCTGGCCTTTGCATAGACACCTCCTGGGTCAAGAAAGGGCACCTGTGGCAGGGAAACCGGTACAGTGACAATCTCTTTGAGCTGCCTCAATTGCTTTGGCAGGCTGGAAATGACCTGTAGGCCATATGTTGTGCAGGTCTGGTGTAGATTGATGCACCTTTGGATGTGTTTTTATATATGTTCAGCTGCATTACTATCTCATGAGAATTCTAGAAGTGAAATGAGTAGTTGACTCTGGGTATGGAAGGGCTCTTTTGGGAAGCACTTTCTGCTCTTAACGTCCTTGTCTTTCCCCTGGGAATGGCCTCACACTGCCCAGGCACATGGACTCCTGTTTCTGAACTTGGCGCTGAACAGTATTGACTTTATTACAAAATCCTTAAGGGTTCATGTGTTCATTTGTTTAAAGCAGGCATGGGCAAACTTTGGCCCTCCAGGTGTTTTGGATTTCAACTCCCACAATTCCGAATTGTGGGAATTGAAGTCCAAAACACCTGGAGGGCCAAAGTTTGCCCATGCCTAGTTAAAATATTTATACGCTTCTTCAGCCACAAAGGCTCTCAGAGTGACTTACAAAGTTTTAATTTGCTTTCAGGCTTACAATCTACAGCAGGCATCAACAAACTTTGGTCCTCTAGGTATTTAGACTTCAACTCTCACAATTCCTAACAGCCTACCAGCTGTTAGGAATTGTGGGAGTTGATGTCCAAAACACCTGGTGGGCCGAAGTTTGCCCATTCCTGATCTACAGGGTTCCAGTTGTGCAGTCAAATAGTTGCTCTGAAAAACATGGGGCTTGGCCAGCCTGACTTATCTGAGAAAGGACAATAAAAGGACCTACAAAGAGCCTACAAAGGCAGTGTAGCATTTAAGCAACACTGCAATAAAGTTTGTCTGCCCTGACTATTCTCATTTGGCAATCAATGCCCATTACAGTTGTACTCAATTGTCCTTGCAGACCACTTTAACATTTATAGCTCTGCTGAATGCTTTCATACAAGCTATGACACTATTGATCTGGGGCTGTATAATTGGCCCATTTGTTTGGATTGGGAAAATACCAGTTCTTTTCTTTTGTGTATTAAGGAAATTGTGTAGTAGTTGGGCATCCCTTACATGAAATGCTTAGGACAGAAGTGTTTTGGATTTCAGTAATTTGGGGTTTGGGGTTTGGGGGGTGGGGGGGTGGTGGATTTTGCTATACCTATATTTCATATACCTGAAATGAGATAGATCCCAAGTCTAAAAACGAACTTCAATAATTTATTTATTTATTTATTTTATCATGTCAGAAGCAAATTGAGAATATATTGCAAGTTGCCTCTGGTGTGAGAGAGATGTTGCCCAAGGGACGCCTGGATGTGTTACCAACCTGTGGGAGGCTTCTCTCCTGTTCCCATATGGGAAGCCAGGGCAGACAGATGGGAGCTCATCCCATCTCGCAGATTTGAACCGCTGACTGTCAGGTCTTCACATCAGCAGTTCAGCCAATCCAAGTGTTTAACCCATTGCACTGTGGCTTCATTTATGCTTCATATATATCTTATGCATATAGTCTGAAGATCATTTTATAATTAATCTTTTAAATAATTTTGTGCATTAAAGAAAGATTACATACATTGATGCACTAGATAGCATAGGTGTCACTGTCTCAGTCACCCATTTGGAAAAAAATGGAATTCTGGATTTTGGAATTCTGAATAAAATATACTCAACCTGTACTTGCACTTACATTTCATCTTCCCTCTGGATAGATCTTCTCCTCCCACAACTTCATCCTCACAATAAAGAGCACCCGGTGGCTCAATGGGTTAAATCTTTGTGTCGCCAGGACTGTTGACTGAAAGGTTAGTGGTTCAAACCTGGGGAGCGGGGTGAGCTCCTGTCCATCAGCTCAAGCTTCCCTTGTGGGGACATGAGAGAAGCCTCCCAAGGATGGTAAAATATCCAGGTGTCCCCTGGGCAATGGCCTTGCAGACGGCCAATTCTTTGACATGCAGTTTCTCAAGTCGCTCTTGACACACACAAAAAATCCTCACAATAACTTTGTGAGGCATGACAAACAGAATGTGTGTAATGTATGATTGGCCCAGTTACATGGCTGAGTAGGGGCTTGGGCTTGGATCCTACAAATCCCAGACCAACACTCTTAATAACTACACAATGTTAACGGAATATCTGATTATATCTGATTATATTCCGAAAGAAATGGTTTTGCAGCCCAGTTGAACATGGCAATATAACAAAGTTCAGAATTGGCTTCTTGTAGGTTTTTCGGGCTATATGGCCATGTTCTAGAAGCATTCTCTCCTGACGTTTCAACTGGAAAGTCAGGAGAGAATGCTTCTAGAACATGGCCATATAGCCCGAAAAACCCACAAGAACTCTGATACCAGCCATGAAAGCCTTTGACAGTACAAAGTTCAGAATTCCTGCTGGATTCACATTATAGATGTCAACTGGGCAAACAGGCATTTCAAGGGAGTGTCAAGGTATTTCATGGGAGCCGCAGTGGCGCAATGGGTTAAACCCTTGTGTTGGCTGAACTGCTGACCTGTAGGTCAATGGTTCAAATCCATGAGATGGGGTGAGCCATGAGAGAAGCCTCCCACTGGATGGTAAGATCCAGGCATCCCCTGGGCAATGTAGACAGCTGATTCTCTCACACCAGCAGCAACTTGCAGTATTCTCAATTCGCTTCTGACACGATTTTTTTTAAAAAGGGGAGTGTCATTATAGGTCACACTGTAGCTGCCAGACTTTTATCAAGCACTTACTTTCCCAAACCATGATGCGGTACTTCTTAAGATAGAGAAAGGATCAAAGTGTCAGTATGGAGGGAGTGCACTTGGGCAGGTCGAGAGAAGGAGGTCTCGCCTTCCCATCCCAGAAGTTTCCCGAGCAACTCGGGAACCCCTTCCTCCTTTCCTTACCTATGGGCAAGCTGAGAAAGTTCAGTGCCAGAATGGTGCCATCCAGGCCATGCTTCTCCCACCAGGAGCTGCTCCTCACCACTTCCTGCACCACCTGGGAGAGCTCCCCCATCAGGGACTCAGCTTCCCTTCGGCTCCTCTCTGGCGGGCCCCCCTCTGCCTCTCCGCCCTCCTGGGAGAGGGCCATCTCTCCTGGCCAAGGGGGGCCTTGGGTGGGCCTGCTGGCACCTTCTCCTTGGGAGAGCCCTTCCTTCTCTTCTTCCTTCTCCCTTCTTCTTCGGCACCCATTGGGAAGCTTGTCGGGTTTGGAGGCGTCCCCTGGTCCGAGTTGGCTCCCTCTTTCCGCTGGGCTCAGCGAGGAAGAGCCCGCAGTGGGCTCGGGGCGCCCCTCTGGGTACCACTCCTGCCAGCTCTTCAGCAGCATCTCCTTCTCCTCTTCCTCCTCCTGCTTCTGCTGCCAGGGCTCCATTCCCAGCCGCTGGGCAGAGGACACTGCGGAGCGCGCGCCAAGGTGCCCGGGCTTCTTCTGCAGGATCAGCTCTCCAGTCCCGGGAAAGGGAACAGGAGACAGGCACCCGCCTCCTTGGCCCGCACTGCTGCGCTTCAGGGTGCTTCGCCCTCGCCCCGAGAGCCAAGCTGGCCCTGGGCCCGCTGCCAAAAGGGGACGGCCTCTCTCCGCGGCGGCAGAGGAGCAGGTTTGGCTGGCTTGCTCCCTTCCCGCGACCCCGAGCTCCCTTCCCAGCGCTGACTCTTTGCCTTCGGCTCTTTCCGACGCCAAGGAAGAAGGGCTTGTCGGGGCAGGAGCCGAAGGAGGGCCAAGGCTCGGGCAGCAGTCCCGAGGGAAGCAGAGACCCCTCGCGCAGTGGCCCCAGCCTCGGTTGGCTTCGGATCCCCCTCCAAGGAAAGCCAGCTAGGACAAAAGTCAGGAACCACTATGGAACTGGAAGAGACCCCAAGGGCCCTCCAGTCCAGCCCCAGTCTGTCATTTATTTATTTATTTACTCTTAGAGAAGACAATGATGCTTGAGAAAATGGAAGAAAAAAGGAAGAGGGGCCACCAAGGGCAAGCTGAGTAGATGGTATCCTTGAAGTGACTGGCTTGACTCTGAAGGAGCTGGGGGTGGCCACGTCTGACAGGGAGCTCTGGCGTGGGCTGATCCAGAAGGTCACAAAGAGTTGGAAGCCACTGAACGAATAAACAACAATTACATTTATATGCTGCCTTTCTCACCCCAAAGGGGACTCCGAGCGGCTTCCAAGCAATATGTAAACACAATATATTATATTATTACCATAGCATAATATTAGTATTCTATATTACAGGGGTCTTCAAACTTTTTAAACAGAGGGCCAGGTCACAGTCCTTCAAACTGTTGGAGGGCTGGATTATAATTTACAAAAAGCATTTGCACACTGCATGTATCTTATTTGTAGTGCAAAAAACACTTAAAAACAATACAACAATTAAAGAACAGTTTTAACAAATATAAACTGAGGCCCAAGGGCCGGATAGGGCCCTCCTAGGTCATTTACCTGGCCCTTACTCAGGGTCAGCCTAAATCTGAAATGACATGAAAGCACACAACAACAATCCTATCTCATCAGCCAAAAGCAGGCCCACACTTCCCACTGAAATACTGATGATATAGGATTGTTGGTGTTGTGTGCTTTCAAGTAATTTCAGACATAGGTTGACCCTGAGTGAGGGCCGGGTAAATGACCTTGGAGGGCCTTATCTGGCCCTTGGGCCTTTGTTTGTGGACCCCTAATATATTACTATATTGTATTATACCATTATACTGTAATGTTATTAGTAATATTACATCTAATATAAAGTATATAATTATAATATCATATTATTATATTGTAATACATTATAATATAAATATTATATGTATATACAATATATTATATTATTAGCATAGTGCAGGAGACAAGGTGGAACTGTCTTCTTGGCTCACTCTCTTCACTCTGGTCCCAGAGCCGTAGTTGATGTCATGTACAATCAAAGCACCCCGGACAGGGAGTCCTTCACCTTCAGTTTAAAAACCTCCAGAGAGGGAGACTCCATCAGGCTCCCAGGGCCCTTCCACACAGCCCTCTATCCCAGAATATCAAGGCAGAAAATCCCACATTATCTGAGTATGGACTCAGATAACCCAGTTCAAAGCAGATATTGTGGAATTTTCTGCCTTGATATTCTGGGATATAGGGCTGTGTGGAAAGGACCCCAGGCAGCAGCACATTCCCTTGCCCCACAGTTCTTACCATCAGGAAATTCTTTCTAATGCTTACCTCCCCTGCCCTGCAGTTTAAAACGGTTGCACCATTGTGCCCTTTAGGCTCCAGAGCAGCAGAAAACAAGCAGCTCTCTCACACTCTCTCAGTTTATCCGAGTGTAGGCTCAGATAACGCAGTTCAAAGCAGATATTGTGGGATTTTCTGCCTTGATATTCTGGGATATAGGGCTGTGTGGAAGGGCCCTTGGACTCAAAGGAAAGCAAAGGGGGTGCTGAACAATTCTGTACAGATGTTTACATAGGAAATCTCAGAAGCAGTTTGGGTCCCCGATGGTGATGATGCAAACCACAAACTGCAAAGGCTTTCTTTCAAGTGCATTTTGTGGGAGTTTGTTGTGTGGCCACCACAGTTTGAAGTGCAATAGTGTTCTTTGTAGATGGGGCCTGGCAGGCCAGAACTCAAATCTCTCCCATGGAAACCCACTGGGTAGTCTTGGGCAGGTCACACACTCTCAGCCTCGGAGGAAGGCAAAACTCTTCTCTGAACAAATCTTACCAAGAAAGCCCTGTGATGAGATTGTGAATCTTCACTGCAAACATTCCTGGCCTCATCATTTTCTAGTATATTCTAAGCTCTGCCCAAAGATCTCTCTCTAGCTTTGTGAGAGCCACCATGGTGTAAGGTTTTGAGAATTGGTTCAAATCAAGGGAGCGAGGTGAGCTTCCACTGTTAGCCCCAGCTTCTGCCCACCTAGCAGTTCGAAAAAATGTAAATGTGAGTAGATCAATAGGTACCACTTCTGTGGGAAGGTAATGGCACTGAATGCAGTCATGCCGGCCATATGACCTTGGAGGTGCCGTCTCTTCAGCTTAGAAATGGAGATGAGCACCACCCCCTAGAATCAGACACGACTAGTCTTAATGTCAAGGGGAAACCTTTACCTTTACTATGACTTTGGAGACCACATTTTGAATTCTTGCCCAGCCATGGAAACCCACGAGGTGACCTTGGGTAAGTAAAACACTCTCAGAAAGAGGCAAAGGCCTCTCCCATCTGAACAACTACTGCCAAAAAAGCCCTGTAATAGGTTTTCCTCAGGATCATCATAAGTCAGAAATGACTTGAAGTCACAGAGCAACAGCAAAACTATGAATAGAAGTGACGAAATCAAGGTCAATATTTGATCGTGGGGCAAGAGAGCAAGAGGGAAGAGACCATTGCGAATTAGGGTTACAGTTGCTCTATTTTTTTTTTTACGTTACAGGGCCAAATAACTTTCATTAGCCAGACCTGACTGGTGTCTTCTTTCTGAATACAAAACCCGTGACTTGACGTAAACAGCTTTTTCATTTATCTTCTTAGCATAAGCCTTTGCCACAATAGCTCAGAGGGTTTATTTAAAGGGCTGCCACTTGCAAGCACTTCTAATTCTCCCATCCTTGTAAATCATGAAAATTTTTAAAAAATCAGAAAAGTCATGGTGGGAAGTAATTTTAGTGTCAAATTCCTCCATACATATGTTTAGTATTGAAGGGCATGTTGTTGTTTTTTTGTGCCCCCCCCCCCCAAAACCCATCTTTATAGAAGTTAGGGCTTTATTTTGTCCCATCCCTGGTTGTTGAAGGTGGTGTCAGTTTCTTGCCCTTGATCTATCTCAGAGTATTAGCTAAGTGGAACTCCAAATCCACTTGGCATATAAGTCATAGCAACTTTTGAAGTATTTATTTATTTATTTATTTTATTTGGTACACTTGTATACCGCTAATTTCTCAGCCTAGAACGGCGACTCAATTGCGGTTTACAGCATTTTAAAAACAATCTCAGTTTAAAAAACATATACAAATACAATAACAAATTATTGGGCCACCAATAATAATCCCATATATCTCAAGTTAAAATCACAATCCAGAGTTCGTTGTCCATATTTCCTGTCCATAGTCATCAAGATTCGATTTAATTGCCACAGATTAGCCGAATGCTTGTTTGAATAACCATGTTTTGAGTTTTTTTCTGAACACTATCAGCGACGAGGCTGATCGTACCTCTGTAGGGAGGGCATTCCAAAGCCGAGGGGCCACCACAGAGAAGGCCCTATCTCTCGTTCCCGCCAGCCGCACTTCTGAAGCTGGAGGGATAGAGAGAAGGGACTCTCCGGAAGATCTTAGGGTCCTGGTGGGCTGATAGGCTGAGATACGTTCGGATGGATAAGTTGGCCATAACCGTTTAGGGCTTTATAGGCTCAACGCCAGCACTTTGAATTGAGCCCGGTAGCAATCGGCAGCCAGTGGAGCTGGCAGCAAGGGAGTTGTATGCTCCCTGCGATCAGCTCCTGTTAGAACCATGGCTGCCGCCCGTTGGACTAGTTGGAGCTTCCGGACTGTCTTCAAAGGCAACACCACGTAGAGAGCGTTGCAGTAATCAAGGCGGGATGTAACCAGAGCGTGGACTACCGTGGCCAAGTCAGACTTCCCAAGGTACGGTCGCAGTTGGCGCACAAGTTTTAACTGTGCGAAGGCTCCCCTGGTCACCGCCGAAACCTGGGGTTCCAGGCTCAGCGATGAGTCCAGGATCACCCCCAAGCTGCGAACCTGTGTCTTCAGGGGGAGTGCGACCCCATCCAACACAGGCTGTAATCCAATACCCTGTTCGGCCTTGCGACTAACCAGGAGTACCTCTGTCTTGTCTGGATTCAATTTCAATTTGTTCGCCCTCATCCAGACCGTCACAGCGGCCAAGCACCGGTTCAGGACCTCGACAGCCTCCTTAGTAGCAGGTGGAAAGGAGTGACAGAGTTGGACATCATCTGCGTACAGATGACATCGCACTCCGAAACTCCGGATGATCTCGCCCAGCGGCTTCATGTAGATGTTAAACAACATGGGAGACAGTATTGAACCCTGAGGAACCCCACAAAACAAAGGTTGTGGGGTTGAACAGGAGTCTCCCCATAACACCATCTGGGACCGACCCTCGAGGAATGAGCGGAGCCACTGCAAAACAGTACCTCCAAGACCCATCCCCGCGAGGCGTCCCAGAAGGATACCGTGGTCGACGGTATCGAAGGCCGCTGAGAGGTCGAGCAGCACCAACAGGGACACACTCCCCCTGTCGAGCTCCCGACGCAGATCATCCACTAAGGCGACCAAGGCTGTCTCGGTACCATGCCCCGGCCTAAAGCCAAAGTACATACTCTTATCCTGAACGAATAAACAATAACAACTTTTATCACATCTGCAGGGGAAAAAATAAAAATGAGGGTAGTTTGATTTATCTTATACTATATCAATAACATCATCACATGTATCCTCACAGCCTGCAAAGAAACTATTGGATATCAAACCAAGAAACATCAAGATTGGTTTGATGAAAATGACAATGAGATCCAACAGCTAATTGAAAAGAAAAGGAAAGCCTTCCAAACATGGCAGAGAGACATCAACTGTGCTGCTAAGAAAAAGATCTACGCCAGCGCAAGAGCTGAGGTCCAAAGAAAGTCAAGAGAACTCAAGAACATCTGGTGGACAAAGAAGGCTGAAGAAATCCAACACCTGGCAGATACCCATGATGCTCAGGGATTTTTCAAAGCCACAAAGATAATCTATGGACCAAGAAACCATGGCATACAGCCTCTACGCTCATCAGATGGAACCAGACTCCT